ATATTTATGAAAAAACAGATACAATAAGATAAGATCATCAGCAACATCAAATAGACATAAAAAAAAGTCAAAAAAATTATTTTTTGACAAATAGGAAACATAGACAAGATCATCGATAACATTAAATAGACTTAAAAAATGTCAAATGTCAAAAATTAAATATCAAATTTTCTTTACAGATAACATTGTTTAAACAATTTCTACAGGTTTCTGGTATCTTATCTTACTTAAAAATTTTTTTTGGGGCGCGAGTTCTGAAAAACTCTATATTGACACATACATAAGAAACACATTTGGCATTACGTAGTTATATTATCAAACTGATTTTCTAGCTTCTTTTTATAATTTCACAAAATTTTTGATAAAATTACTGTTTTTTTTTCTATTTTCAAAAATCTACTTTTATTAAAGAAATATGAACTGTTTTTTTTACATTTTACTTTTTCTCTTCTAACTTCCTCCTCTAACTATTTGTACCTTGAAAATAAGCAAACGAATAAATTGATACTTTTTTAATTCTCTAACTTTTTACATTTTGTTAAGTCCAATCATATTTTTTGTAAATATTGACAACAGTAATAATTTTCTGTGCATGCTTTCAAATGTGCTTTTATAATTAAGTTTCCAATTTTCTTATTTTGCTAAAGCGCCGATTTACATTTTAATTCGTAATTAATCTAATTCGAATTAAGTTGACATTTAGGAATTTTATTTTGTCAAGCTTCAAGTTAATTAAAATTTAATTTGCAATTAAATATTCTATAAACCAACCTTAAATATTTAGAAAAGGCAATTATTTTGATTATAATAATAAACGTACAAAAATACTAGAGCATGAAACTAAAAAGTGTCTCTTAATTTTAAAATATTTACTTTATTCTCCTTGCTGGATAGAAAATACAGAAAGAGAGTAGGATTATTTTTTCTACAGAAGTGCGCTTTTTCTGAAGAAATTATCAGTTTTTCTTTAATTTGTATTTTGTAACTTTTTTAAATTATTGTTGATAACAATTGTTATATATTTTATCCACAATCACTCTATAAAGAGACTTTATTCCACACTTTAGATGCGTATAAAGTACCACTTTATCCAGTAGTGGAATAAAGTAACTTTATTCCACTGTTAGTAACCAGCGCACCGCGTAACAGCTTACTACGTTTAACCGAAAGCACATTTGGCGTGACGTTTAAATGTCAGTTTAATTTTTAATTAAGTTTGTAATAACTTGGGCCTGTGATTATGGATAAAACGTTATATTGCAGTCGTGTTTTAATCGCGTTTTATCCACTTAAGAAAATTAACCGCTCGAACTGACGTTCTCGCGGTTAAACATTCTTGCGTGAATAAAACGCTACCTAACACACTCTTACAATAAATAACAATTTTTTATTCTTAATTAACTTTTTAAATTCGGTGGAAGCATCTTTTTTGTCAAAGTAGGGATTTTTAAAATCCATTTAAAATGTCCATTTTTGCGTGTATTTTATGGTTTATGAGGGTTTTAATGAGAGAACAGTTAAAAAAAAACAAAATATCCAAAATTCTGAAACGGAATCCGATCCTTATGTTGAATATCAATTTGTTTCTGTAAAACACGAATTTGTGGTAAAAGTTTTTTTTATATGATATTTAAATTTGTTTAGATTCACAACGACGACGGCGTATGGTTGCGTCTTTCCGCCGAAACGATAAAACAATACTGCACCACGAGCGTAATCGAAGCGTGGTGCTTGCAATACAACCAACATTTGGGAAAAACCCTTCTACTGCCGGTCGAAGAACCCAAATCGATTTTAGACCAAGTCATAAGCGACACGATTATGCGTAAACTGCCCGAAATCAGCGACAGACACAAAATACCTGGCAGTTCTACCAACTATCAAGTGATAAAATGCGGCGCTTCCGGCCACAATATCAGAAGTCGGCCCAGTCTTAAAGCCCCACCTGTTGGAATGTTAGTGTTGGGAAATCGCATCGGTGTTATCGATTACGCAGTCAACCCTGACGGCTATTGGGTGCTTTTGGATAAAACCACAGCCGAGAAATATTGTTTTAATACGGACCATGAAGCCTGGTCGTTAGCAATAGGGCCGAATAATGTTTTGTATTTAGGAAATGTGACAGGGGTGGAGAAAGACACTTGCCCCCAAGTGTCAACAGAGGCCGAATTTGTGAAACACTCGAAAAAGGGTTTTGAATTTTCCTGTGGGAATCCCCCCGAACCGAATTTTTCTTTCGGGGGCCAGCCAATCCAAAATTCGGTTGTAACACCCAAAGAGACTCTTTCGACAAATCCGTTCGTTTTTGGTGACAGTATTAAATCCGAATCGCCCAAACTTCCAAAACGAGAAAGGAAAGAATCGAAATTGAGTAGTTTACCAAAATGGTTTAAAGGCGACGACGTCAAAGTGTAAAACAAACAAAACGGTGAAAACATATTGTTTGATGATTTTATTTCAGTGATGACTCTTCATCGAAAGAACACGGTTGTAATGGTAATGGAATCACACCACCTGGGACCCCGAAACGCTCACAAAGCCCTCGAGCTGGTCATCTATCCCCGAAGCCGATAAGTCGGAGCTCTAGTCCCGTCCCGATTCCTTGTAAGTATCGCTTGATTTTCGATGTGGAAAAAATTGTGGCGTGTTAGTATAGAATTGTTTTTTTTTTTTGCAAAATTAGCAACTGAACGACAAGAGGTTGTCTCTTCGGTTCAAGTCGTACAGAATTTAAGGCTGATCGAAGGTATCCATTTACATAAAGCATGATTGTTTTTCCCCATTATCAAGCCACACTCCTGGATCTTGAAACTCTCCCTACTTCGTAAGTCCCGCCCACCTGTTGTGTTCCGCCTCTTTATTTGTGGAGGGGGAAAAGTGTCACCTTTCCTATTTACTGATTATATTGCGAACGGTAGATAGGTGTAACAATTTTCAATTAAAAAAAATTGGAGGATGATTGAATAGTGATTTCTTGGACAGTAGTAAAAAAGAATTTCAAAATATTACAAAACTGAAAGTCTAAAAAGACAGCCAAAAAATGTACAGTAGAGAAAACTTTTATTTCTCAATATTGGCATAATAGTAGATTTTGTTATAGGGATAAAAGTGACACTTTAAGTGACGAAACTGAATGTTCACCTAAGGCACATAAAATTACTTTTTTCTACTTTGCGTTCGTACTAAGGTCCATTACGAAACTGTTTTGGGTTTCGTAATGAACAAAAACAGTGCTATAAAAATTATACTAAAGAGAGGGAAATTTAGTCTTATAATGTTGGCAACCTAACCGTTTTTCCATCGAACTGTCAGTGTCAATCGGTCTAACGCAAATGAAATTATTCAAATACGAAATTTTTGCTGTGTTTGGTTTAATTAATCATCGCAAAAAATATTCCGAATGAACATGATTATAGTGGTGCTTACGCATACCTTTAGATCATAGGACAAAGTAAAATAAAAGGTACTTACTGTTACTTTTGAGACTTTTGTGGTTTTGCCGTCAACTTACTGAACAATATTGGCGTGTGATCTCACAGGGAGTAAACTGTTCATCGTATTTGCCGTCAAGGTCGGTATTTCTAACGCCGTACATTGCAAAACGTCTTCGACACCTTCGAAATTAATTTTTACGAATAAAATAATGACGTTTCAAATTAATTTATTTCATAGCCACCTAGCCACCACACAATGTCGCCAACTGCCGCAAAATTCCCTACATTCCAAAATTTTTATTTTTTTGTTTAAAAAAGTGCAAAGTAGAAAAATACTGTATGATATCTCGTTTATAAGGCATTTTGTCGCACTTACTGCGCTCGTCGTGTCCTAAACACGTGCGTGCGACAAAATGCTTCTTATAAAACTCGTATCATAATATACTATTACCTTGTGTTTTATTCGCAAACATAAAAAAACTGACACTTTTATGTTTCACAGAAGTGAAAGTTTTATTTTTGACTCTTGGAATAAAAGTGTAGATTTATTACGTATTTATGTTTGTAATAACTATATTTTAAAATTTGATTTTTGATTGACAACATTATTTTCAATATACACGGTGACCCAGGCGTACGTGCAAGCTTCATACCTTTTTTTCTATCCAAGTTATCGACTCGATTTTTTTTAAACGATAGGTTCTATAATGAAGCACATTTCAAAAATATTTTTATTTAATACAGGATGTCCTAAAATAAGATACACAATTGCGTTCTGGTTTTTTAAATGTAAACCCCCAATTTTTAATACATTTTTTAATTGGCCACTAAATTGTCGAATTAACGCACGCAGTTTTTTAGAATCAACTGCAATAATTTTTGACTTATATGTATCAATTTATGTGTCTAAAAAGCGTCGTGTATAGACCCACTGAAAAATTCTTTTGAGATAATGGCGAACATTGAGTCGATGATCTATCGCTTACTACAATTTTTTAAAAATGACAAATTACGTGTACAACGGCAATAACTTGACTTTTCCAAATATACGGTTTTTTTGTTAGGTCAACAAAATTTAAATAAAAAATCTTGTACTTTGTAGAAAAACTAGCTAAATTTACAAAATTAAAAGTTCTAACATTTCGCAGAAATTAACCATTTTTTTTTGCAGAAGATGTAGACTAAACAAAAGTATTGATAACCTTCTTGTCTGGAAAATTAGAATTTTTTTGGCCCGTCTATTGGTCACTCTATTATAATGGGGAAAAGACTTCTTTTTCATTCACAAATTTTACCAAAAAAAATTTTTTGCGATGAGTAAATTTTTTATTGATAATATTTTCTGACATTTGGACAGTGGTAAAAAAAGAAGTCTAATAAAGGTCTTAGATGTCCAAAAGGACGGTCACACGAAGTGTGTAAATCTCAAAGGTAGTCCATTTTTTATAAAAATAATGTCAATCTACAGGAAACTATGACGTGGTGTTTTTTTTTTGCATAATTATGTGTATTTTTGAAAGGATTTCTCTTTAAAATCGGAATTTTTTGTTACAAGTTTTTTAATACACTTTTCTAAAAATATTTTTTTTTACGATTCTTGCTTTACATTTACACTAAGTACGTATGTACGCTAGAAACTAGACGCACAGGAAAATAAAGCAATTAAAAAAATCTATTTGCAAAAAAAATTAATCTTGCAAAATACTTGTAATGTATAAGTTTATTGTTTGAAAAAAAAAAATAAGTAAAACGAAAAACTTTGTTATCTGTAGAAAAACCATCAAAATTTATAGTTAAAAGTTTAACAATGTGTGCAAATTAACCAGTTTTTCTGCGAAAGTTGTAAATGTAAGGAAAAAGTGGTGTAAAAATCTGTCATAAAATTAGATTTTTTGTGTCACTGCCAGGTCTCACCCCTCGACCTTGAAACTTCCCCCACTCTCCTGTATGTCCCGCCCACTTCCCGTAACTTTGACTACTCCCGCTGGTGGGGGTAAACTGCCCACTTCTCTACTCATTAAGCAAATTTTATAGCTCGTGGTAATATCCTCCACGACAGCACAAGTAGCAGTCCTCAAGCTTTCGGTTCACCTCGTAGCATCGGAATGTCACCTTTAGGTGAGTTTCTAAAAAATCGAAATTTTTCCAACTTAACGAAAATTAGTTTCAGCTTCCGGTCCAGAATTTTCAGTACGTCGCGGTTCCAACCAATCCGATACCAGCGCTCTGGTGAGTAGCTTAACACGTGACTTATCCCAATCACCAAGTCAAGCCACACAACCACGTGACTTATCACCAAGTCCAAGCGGCAGTTCTTTACACACACGATCTGAAACCAGTCCACCACATACACCAAACAAAAAGGAAAATACTGTGAGTCCTTTCACTTTTTTTATTACGAATCATTCATCGGACTTATCTAGGACTCGGAACAAAGTTCCAAAAAATTGACTCAAACCGGGACGCAAACTTCACCAGAAAACAGCTCGAATCCTTCCATTAAAAGTCACTTTTCTATTGGAAGTGGGAGTAAAGACGAAAGAATGCCTCAGAAAGTGTCACGAGTTGATAGAGCGACTGGAAAAGCCCGGCCCAAAAGGGCCATAAGTCCGGCGAGTTTGCAACAACTTCCCACCAGTTCGAAGGTGAACTATCAAGGGTCTGAGTCAGCAAAACAGGCGATGAGTCCGTCAGTGGCTGAGTCTTTGAGGGCCGTTTTCGCCGCCTTTCTCTGGCATGAAGGTACACATTTTTGCTACTAGCAGTAGAAAAAAATATGTATGTGTCTCTAGGTATCGTCCACGATGCTATGGCTTGTGCCTCATTCCTGAAGTTTCATCCCACATTGCCGAAACAAGGAGCTTTGGTTGTAACCCGCCAATCGGAAGCACCGGTCGATAAGAGACGCCAGGAGTTGTCCAAGGAAGAGAAAGCAAGACAGAGACATTCGGTTGAGGTCAGCAATGCGGGGAATTACCTACATATTCAACCTTCGACGCTAGAATCGTTAACGAGGTCCGCAGCCAATGCTAGTGCCAATAGAAAAAGGCCTAACAAATATCCAGTGATAATAAATGAGGAAAGTGGGGAAAAGTATACTGAGGGCGGGTATGGGTATCATACGATATCAGTGCTGCCACCTGCTTTGAAATCGTTAGTTTTTCTTTGGGAGGAACTGACGACGAATTGTCTTCAAGCGATTTCGCATGATATGATCGTTGCGAGTCCCGTGCATAAAAAGAAGAGTGATAAGGGGGGAAGCAAGGATAAGGATAAGAATGCAACAATTGAGAAGGAAAGTAAGAAGAGTAGGAAGAAGAAAATTTCGCCGAGGAATTATTTAGGTGATTTTTCATATTAATTTCTGTCGATTTAGATGTAAAAAAGTGTTCCTACGGTCCTAACAGAAAGTAAGTTTTTCCTCACTAATTTTAAAAAAGAAAGTGGCCAATTATCTCCATCTGTCAAAATTACAATAAAAATACAGGGTGCGCCAGAACTCGCGCCCCAGAGAAAAATGCCATGTAAGGTAAGATACCAGGAACATGGAAAAAATGTTAAAAAAATTGGGACTGGGATATCAAGAGAAATTGTTTAGGTTTGAAGTTTTTCTTGCTGGATCGTAGGAAAAATTATATGTATTACACTGGAGGAAAATGTCTTTTCCTCTTTGGATGGTTCCAGTCCTTGACAAATCTCGAGCACTAACTTCCATCTGTGGGAGGAAAAGATACTTTCCTCCCTTTTAATATAAATAACTATTACTGAACACCGTACGAAGCAGCTTTACAGGTTACCTCTTCCTTTTCTTCTTTTTTGATTTCTTCACCGGCATTTTTTTACTTTCCTTGTCCTATAAGGAAAGTATTGGAATCGGCTGAAATTTGATCTACCTATATTTTTACATTTCTGGACGAATTTTAGCTTCAAGACACCAAAAAGTTGGTTTGGGCCATTGGGTCGTGTGTGTGTGTATAAAAATTATTTAGAATCATGAAATAAACCTTATTAAAAAGTAAAATGTGATAAAAGAAAAATGATAATGGCTACCGAACTAAAAAAAAATGCACCTCAGATTCGAACCCGCGACAACTATGATCTATTTCGCGTGTAATTTGGCAGGTGGCACTAACGCTAGGTTTGCTACTCGGATTTCCAACGCTAAATTATTGTCGTAAGGATGTTTTCCAAATAAGTAAGATAAGGAGAGTCGTGTGATGTTTACACCAGATTTTTCATACACAGCTTTTTTCTCGTTTTTCTCATCTTCACCTTTTTGTTCTTCTTCTACGCTTTTTTCAACATCTTTTAATTTCTATCTTCGTCAACTTCTTCTTCTTCATCGGCGTCTTTTATTTTGCTTTTATCTTTCTCCGCCCCTTCCTCCTCCTCGTCTTCTTTAATTTAGTTTGGTGTGTTTCCTCAGAAGCTTCTCTTTATTTTTCCTTTTCCGAATGAGTTACTTCTTCCGATGCTTTAGTTTCTTTCACCTTCTCTTTGTTCTTCTACTTCTTTTTCGTCCTCCTGCTCTTCCTCATGCGACTGACTACTCGCCAAGATCTTCTTCTAGGGAATTTAAAATATGATCACCATCGTCATGATAACTATTATTAATCCAACCTTCAAATAAATGTAAAAACTTCGTTTCTGTTTCCACTACATCTTTTACCGTGCGATCAAATAAAAAATAAATTAGAGTAGGCGTCGATTAAATTCTACAGTTGGCAACACATTGGCTGAGAATCTGTGCTGGAAATTTTCCACACAAACTGAAAATGAAAATGACCATCCACCGTTTTCCTCTTGTACAGCAATAAAAAAATTCTGCTATGAAGTGAACATTATTTCACTCACAAGGAATAAAACGCAAACTTGTCAAAGTTTCCGCTGACATTTGATGTCAAAAATCAGGATTGCCATCTGAAGGACTTTTATCACCGCCTACTCTAATTTATTTATTTTTTGATCGCACGGTATGTTTCTTTACAGTTAGAAGACGAAACCTTCAAGAAGATTAACAGTTGGTTAATCTTCGATGTTTGGTTATAATCAAACCAATAAGTACCGCAATTGAAAACAAGTTCTCTTAATAGAATTTTGAACCATTTTTCTTTGTTTATGAAAATAGTTAAAAATAATTTTAAATAGGTCAGACAGCTCTTGAATTAGTTACGATTTTACAGAAGACATCGGCCTTTCGAGCTACCTGCACTCGTCGAGTTGGGAAACTCTTTGCGAGCTCTGCGGCGAAGTGTTCCCCCACCCTGTGACCTACCACATGCACCAGTCACACCCTGGTTGTGGTCAACACGCCGGCGGTAAGGGGTACAACTCTGGCGGAAATTATTGTTTGGGTTGGGCCGGCAATTGCGGCGACGGCGGTATTCGTAAGCACCCCAACCTGTCTCCAATTCGCCTCTTTTGAAACATAATTTCAGCCAATAGTTCGTGGTACCTTCTATGCGAAAGCTGTCGCGAGAAATACGTCAAAATGAACCGCGGAGGCAAACAACAAACCAAAAGCAAAAATCTAACTCGGAGAAAAAGCGTCTACGTGAAACCTCTATCGTCGCCGTCGACTTCACCAGGTCTTGAACCCCACGTGATCATGAAAAATAACGCAATGTTTCTATTGGATTTGGCCAGTTCGGCCGATGCGGTTATAACCAGACAGAGAAGACCATCGTCGAGTGTCATGCCATCGGTGTCTGAGAATAATTCGCCCCCGGATTGCGGCGGACCATTTAGTCCAGTGCCGCCTTTTCAATGCTTACAAGCTTTGGGGGCGAATTTATCCCCAAATGAACCGGAGTTTTACGAGAAGGTTTTGAGGCAACAAAATTTGCACGAAGTCGGGTTCGGGCAGAGGGTAAATATTAAGAGTTTCGGGGTTTTTGAGGGTGTTTATTATGGGTTTCAGCCACTATCGGAGGTTTCCATCTCGGATAATGATTCGGATAGTGGAAAGGGGTTGCGGTTTCACCGATCGGTTTCAATGGGTACCAATGGGATTCCCTGGTCGAAGACAGGGTTAGATGGAAGGATTATTATGATGAGGAAAAGGAATAACAGTAGCAGCGAAATTGCGAACGGTTGGTGGTGAAAAAAATAATTATTTTAAATTTTATACTTCAACTTCAGAGGGGGGATCATCTCTACTGTGCAACCCGTCGAACGCCCTCCAGAAACTAGTACCAAAAATGGACACTTCGGCAATAGTAAAAGCTGAAGCATGCGACCACACTGAAGGTCTCGTCTTGTTACAACGGCCGGTAATGCAGTTTTTGTTACAACAACACGACTTGGAGGCACTTCAATTGGCTATGAAGCAGGCCCTCAGGTACCATCGACCAATTTTGAGTACTTTTTCCGATTTTGGAAATTTTCAGGAAGGCCATGTGCCGAGTCTATGCTATGCAAGCCTTAAACTGGCTTCTAAAATCCGTTACTCAACCCATATGTTTGCACGACTTGCTCTGGTGGTTCGTGACCTCGCTAACACCCGTCGAAGTTGAGACGGAAACGGACGATGATAACCGACCGGCGAAAAAAATAGACGATCAAGTGAGTGCTCTTAAACTAGTACAATCAGCGTAGAAAAGATTGTCCTTCTAATAAACAACGCGGACCCTTAGAGGCTGAACTCATAAACCACAACAATAAATCTTTTCCATTGTAAACGTCAATTCTTATTGAACAGTATTTTTAGTTTGAAGTGAAGCTCAGTTACTGATTTTACGTTCAATTAGTAAATAACAAATTATTTAAAAAAAATCACAACTTTATAGTGTAACTAAAAATAAAATTAAAAAATAATTATAATAGATGTTTAATTAGCTATTTATTTGCCAAGTAAATGCTGTTTTAAATGACAAAATTTAATAAACAATATTATTATTAGAAATACCTAATAAAAACCATCTATTAATTAATAGTTATTTATTCGACGAGTTTGAGTGTAAATCGGACTCTTTATTTGACCGAGTGGATTTTTAAACCACGAGTGTAACGAGTGGTTTACCATCCAC